TTATATTCATTAAGAGAAATATCCTTGCGAGTAATCTGGGATTTTAGAGTATCTAACTCTGAGTGCAATCGCTTAACTTTATCTTTAAGTTGGTAGATATGCTTAGAAAGTTTCTCTTTATCTTTATTAGATCGATTTAGATCCCGTTGTATGCGCTTATTGTCTTTATCCAAGACAAAGCATTTATTAGCAAGTCGATTGCCACACTCTATAGCAATTTCTCGATCTTGATTTGTGCAAGCAAGCTGATTTTCAAGTTCTGTTCGGCTGGGTGGATATCGATTAGATGGAATACTCCCAAGTTTATTGCCAGATACCAGAGCTATTCCAGCATTTATCTCATTCAGCATATACAGATTTGCTATATAAATTTACTTGAAGGTAGATATATTTTTTTTTCTTAGTAATTTTCTGAGACGGCATTAGAAATTTTTTGGCAAAAGTAGTTGGTGTAAATTATTTATATATATATATTTTTCTTCGAATGTGGAGAAAGGGAACCAGAATCAAACTGATATCAAACTAATAATAAATCAGTTTAAGACAAATATGATATTTAAACTATATACATCTCAACCCTATTTGAATCATGGTTATAGCAAGCTACATGATAAAGGAAACAAATTTTCTTTATATTTCAAACTAATATCAAACCAATATCAGACCAATGCCAAATAGGTTGCGAATAAATTTTTTACAAGTTTTTTATTGATATCATGTAAATTTATTATTAACAAATTATGAGTAAAAAACTATTAACCCATACTCATAAATTTCTTAGATCAGATACCACCCGCTTGTCACCTGAAGCCATTGAAGAAATCAGAAATGCTCAGAATAATATTCCAAATGCTCGACGTGTTATGTGTAAAAAACATTATATAGAGGCAATGACATATCAAAAAATCATTGATAATCAAAGGCCTCCTGAACCTACTGAAGAGTGGCGTAAAATCCTAGAATCTGTTAGCATCTCTGATCGGATTTTAGAAAATAACCAGGAATCTTTACAGCTGGTAAGTACTGAGTATGATATCTCTTCTACTAATATACAAGAAGATGAGGTCATTCATATAGAGCATCCTGGAGATGATAAAAATGGTGCAAATTCTCATATAAGGCTAAATACAGTAACTAGTGAACGAAAAAATAAGGTTAGTGGAAAACAAAAGATTAGTATGAAGACAAAGGGTGAATCTTCTCCAGTAAAAAAAAATAGAATAACCAATTCTTCCAAAGATGATACATCTAGACGGGAATCTGATCTTGAAAAAATAATGAATAATATTAAAAGATTAGCTCCTATTCTTCTATCTTTGTCTCAGTAAGTTGAGAACATCTTTCTGCAAGAACCTTACCTGCATTTAGAGCCATATCAAGCCACTCTTCAGTTTTTATGAGTCACTTTTCAAGCTCTTCGCACTTTTTTTAAAATCATTCTTACTAGTCAGGCTAGAGGAAATTTGAGCTGAATCATTCGGGGAGGATGCCCAAGGGACTACCTTCTGCTCCTCTTTTGGCAGATCGTTTATTTCTGGAGTCTTGCTAAAAGTTGGGATAATGTAAGTCTTCCCATGTAACTTCATTCGGAATTGATTTTTATTTGGATCAAGAACACCTTGAACTTTTTGAATCCATGTCATATCTAAACATAACATTGGTTTGGGTTCTCCATTATTAATATGAGAAAATTTCCAGTAGCTGTAACAATCTTTCTATCCTTGTTCTTTACACTAATTGGCACATCTGTATACCATCCCAATAATTCGGTTATATGTTTGAAATTACCCTTTATAGCAAAGTCAGATAGCTTGTCAGCTTTCCACCCCAGAGCATTAATTGTTGCATCATTCACTCCCCCGAATTCACTTGCGCTATCTAAAAAAGAATTAGTGATCAATAAATTATTTATATTACAATGCAGGTATTGTAATGATGAAAACTACTCATCTGATTTTGATTCTTTTTCCTGGACTATATAAGACTGACACATTTTTTGCATGCCTGGCAAAAGTTTCGAAAATAATTCATTATATGTTTTTGGCTAGTTATTATTCACTATTATCTGTTTTTTTTTCCTGATAGATTATACTACCTATTCTCTTCCTTATTATAATCTCCATTTTCCTCATCTGAATCGGGGGCGTACATTGAGAGACTATTGGTTTAAGTGGCGTAAAATAAGACCGAGTAAAATTAGACTGAGCTATTGGTCTATTTGAATAATTCCTTTTGCTATGGCCCGTCTCTCCACAAATATCACATTTACATATATTTAGTTTTTAAAATTGATTGGTTAATTGATTTACTGCATCACGAGTTTCATTTATCCCCTCCTCTACTCTATCAATTCTAGCAGAGACATTGCTTCGCTGTGGGTGAGATCTTTGAAAAGGTTTTATAGGATAATTTCTCTCTAAATCTTCTGTACTAAATATACCTAAATTATTTAAAAA